GGCAGAGCGGATGAACAGAACATTGTTAGAAAGAACAAGAGCAATGTTGAGGGACGCAGGCCTAGAAAAATCATTATGGGCAGAAGCAGTCAATACCGTCTGTTATTTGGTGAATCGAGCTCCATCAACTGCAATAGAGCTGAAGACACCAATTGAGATGTGGACTGGTAAACCAGTTGATTATTCAAACCTCCATGTATTTGGAAGTATTGTGTACGTGATGTACAACGCCCAAGAAATTTCAAAGCTGGATCTAAAATCTAGGAAATGCAAATTCTTGGGGTATGCTGATGGAGTAAAGGGGTATCGCTTGTGGGATCCCACTGCCCGCAAAGTAATCATTAGCAGGGATGTTATATTTATAGAAGATAAATTACAAAGAAAAGAAGACGATGATAGCGCTGAAAAGTCAGAGACTACTCAGATAAATGTGGAAAAAGAGTTTGAAGAAGGAGATTCTTCTGAAGCAGAACCAGCACATGATGAACAAGAACCAGAGAGTTCTGAAGCTCCAACAACTCGTCAATCAGATCGTGTGAGAAGACGTCCCAATTGGCACTCAGATTATGTTATAGAAGGTAATATTGCATACTGCCTTTTAACAGAGGACGGTGAGCCATCAACATACCAGGAGGCAATAAACAGCTCAGATGCTTCACTGTGGATGATGGCGATGCAAGAAGAAATCGAAGCCCTTCATAAAAATAATACATGGGACCTTGTGCCACTACCACAAGGAAGGAAGCCAATTGGTAACAAATGGGTCTTCAAAATCAAGCGAAATGGTGACGATCAAGTTGAGAGGTATCGTGCAAGACTGGTGGTCAAAGGATATGCTCAAAAAGAATGTATTGATTTCAATGAAATATTTTCTCATGTGGTTCGACTAACAACAATTCGAGTAGTTTTGGCAATGTGTGCTACATTGGACTTACATCTAGAGCAGCTAGATGTTAAAACAGCTTTTCTTCATAGAAATCTTGAAGAAGGAATTTATATGCTCCAGCCTGAAGGTTTTGAAGAAAAAGAAAAGAAGAACTTGGTTTGCAGGTTGAACAAATCTCTTTACGGTCTAAAGCAGGCGCCGAGGTGTTGGTACAAGAGATTTGATTCTTTCATTATCTGCCTTGGATATAATAGACTTAATGCAGACCCTTGTGCTTATTTCAAGAGGTCTGGTGATAACGATTTTGTTATTTTGCTGTTGTATGTGGATGACATGTTGGTTGCAGGACCCAACAAAGATCATATTGAAGAATTGAAGGCACAACTGGCTAGGGAATTTGAAATGAAGGACTTGGGATCAACAAACAAGATTCTAGGGATGCAAATTCACCGAGACAGAAGTAATAGGAAGATTTGGCTTTCACAAAAGAATTACTTGAAGAAAATCTTGTCATGATTCAGCATGCAAGATTGTAAGCCAATTTCTACCCCTCTTCCTATTAACTTCAAATTATCCTCCAGTATGAGTCCTAGCAGTGAAGAAGAGAGGATGGAGATGTCTCGAGTACCATATGCATCAGCAGTGGGAAGTTTAATGTTCGCTATGATATGCACAAGACCAGACATTGCACAAGCAGTGAGAGTGGTTAGTCGGTACATGGTGAATCCAGGAAAAGAGCATTGGAATATTGTAAAGAGGATCCTAAGATACATCAAAGGAACCTCAAATGTTGCATTATGTTACGGAGGATCAAACTTACTAATCAATGGGTATGTAGATTCTGACTATGCAGGGGATTTGGATAAAAGTAAATCTACTACAGGATATGTGTTCAAAGTTACTGGTGGAGCTGTAAGCTGGGTTTCAAAATTGCAGTCAGTTGTGGCTACGTCCACAACAGAGGAAGAATATGTAGCAGCTACACAAGCCAGTAAAGAAGCAATTTGGTTGAAGATGCTGTTGGAGGAGTTTGGGCACAATCAAGAGTATGTCTCTCTATTTTGTGACAGTCAAAGCGCCTTGCATCTAGCAAGGAATCCATCATTTCATTCAAGGACAAAGCACATACGAGTTCAGTACCATTTCATTCGTGAAAAGGTGGAAGAAGAGACAGTAGATATGCAGAAGATTCATACTAAAGACAACATAGCAGATTTCATGACAAAGGCGATCAATGCTAATAAATTTACCTGGTGTCGATTCTCCTGTGGCCTGTCAGAAACGTAAGCAGCATGAAGGTACAAGGTAGAAAGAATGGTGTGAAGATATGATTGTTCCAATCAAATCTTCAAGTGGGAGATTGCTGAAAAGTCAACAAGTGTAGGCAACTTTCGGTGGGTTTTTGACAACAATATTTTCGGTGCAAGTGGTGCAAATGGCAGCTGAAATTGTTGAATATTTTGGATGGTAAAACTATGCAATTAGTCATTGAAATTTAGGGTACTTACAAATTAGTCCTTAAGCTTCAACTATAAATACCCTAGCTCATTTAACTTCAAAATCATCCCAAAGCATTCTAGCTTTCTTACAATACTAGAGAGATTTTAGAGAGTTTCTTGAGAGTTGTTTTCTCCTTTTTTATCTAGAGAGAATTATCATTGTTTTCTCCTTGGTAGATCGAGAGAGGTTGTAATTCCTATTTTCTCATAGTGAAATTCTTCTACCGTTGCCCGTGGTTTTTACCCTAAATTTTTAGGGGTTTTCCACGTAAATTTTGTGTCTCTTTTATCTTCATTTTTATTTTCTCAAATTATCAGTTGCGATTTTGCTCTATCCGATAGCCGTCTTCCGCAACAGTTTACACTAAATTGAATAGCATTTTCTCGAGATTTCTTTGGGGTAGCCCGCAAGACAGGAAAGAGATCCATTAGGTAAAATGGTTGGATGTCTGTAAGCCGATTGTTTGGGGAGGTCTCGGTATTAGTGATCTAAGGATTAAGAATTATGGTCTGCTCGGGAAATAGTGCTGGCGTTTTGGTTGGGAAGACTCCTCTCTTTGGAAACGCACTATGGCAGCAAAGTATAACATAGATCCGGCTGATATCTGTCCCCCTAACCCGAGGGATAGAGGTGTGTACTGGATATGGCGTGATATTCTAAAGACTTTCGACTTAAAGATTGGGGAGCAAAGCTTAAGAGATTATTGTATAATTCAAGTAGGCAATGGGAAGAGAGTGAAGTTCTGGCAAGACCTTTGGATTGGTAACCACCCGCTTATGACCGCTTTTCCTAGGATGTTTGCTCTTGCTGTGAATAAGGAAGGGACAGTGGCGGACTTCGGAACCAAAACAGATTCTGGTTGGGTCTGGGATATCCAGTTTAGAAGGAATGCTTTTGGCTGGGAGAGAGAGCCGTTCGAGGAGCTATTTCGTTTGCTGGTGGAGTTTGACAGACCTGGTTCTGGTTTTGACAAGTTTAAGTGGAAGGGGACATCAGATGGGAGCTACACGGCAAAGGTTGCAGAGGCTCTGCAATTTCCATCAAGAAAAGCAGATTTCGACTGGAAGGCGCTGATCTGGCAAGGTTTCGCTCCTTACAAAGTTGAGGCGTTCGTCTGGAGGGTTCTCCTCCGTCGGGTTCCTGTCCGTTCGGAACTTGTGAAAAGTGGAATAGTGTTGGCGGCAGAAAGTTGCTGTCCCATGTGCTCGGACGGTGAGGAATCGGTATCACATTTATTCTTTTCGTGTAATGTTGCATGGAGAGTTTAGGCAGCCTTCATTGGAATCTGGGGAATTTCTACTGCATTGCCGGATGATCCTAAATTATTTTTGTCAATGTGGAAGGAGCTTCTCTTTACTGTTTCTAAGTGCAAAACCGTTTGAGGTATCATCCATCTAGCAATGATTTGGTTGTTATGGCTTCATAGAAATGAGTTGGTATTCAACGGGAAGAAGTTGGATGTGAAACAGGTGTTGTTCTCTGTCAAGGTGAGAGTGGTTTGTTGGTTGGAAGCAAAGTTCCAAAGGTCCACTTTCAGGAAAGAGGATTTGATCGCGGACTTATCGCATGCTTCGGATGAGATTTTTCGAAAGAAGACTGAATTGGTGGCATCTTCTTGGAGCCCATCCTCCTCCGGGTTCCTTAAAATTTAACGTAGACGGGGCTGTGAGATCGGACGGAGGGGTGGGGGGAATCAGGGGTGTCCTCCGAAACAATTCGGGTGAGTTGCTTCTCTTGTTTTCATTAAGTATTGGGAATGTTTCCTCATTGATGGTTGTGGTGATGGCGGTGGAGCAAGCCTTAGCAGGTTTATAGCTTTGAATCGGTCTGTTAATTATAGGCTGGTAATTGAATCGGATTGTGAAGTATTGGTTAATTGGCTTTTGAATGTCTCTATGGTTCCGGGGGAATGGCGATTCTTCCTATTGCTTCCCGTATGGCTCAGGTGAAGGCGGTTATCAATTTCGTTCCTAGAAGATGCAATGCGATGGCGGACTGGTATGCCAAAAAGGCGATAGGGTAGAGGGGTTTTGTCAGGCCGAGTGCAGGTGCCAACGAGATTGGGGTGATGGTGGGTCTTGCTTCTGTTAAGGAGTGGAGCATTCTCGGGTTGAGGGAGAAGATTGCTAGGCCTAAGTGGAGTTAGAGGTTGAGCTGTTCGGTTAGGTCACCTATGTATAGCATTTGTCTGTTCGTTCCCTTTGGTTTTCGTGCGAGCCAGTTTCATTTTAATGTATTTCGTTTAGGGTGCACTCTTTTTCCTTCAATTAGGGTTAGGAAGGTTTTTTAACGAGGTCTTTTCCGAAATGTAACGATAGTTATGCTTCTGAATAAATTTTCTTACCTCTAAAAAAAAGGCTTAAAACTCGGGATATATGTTGATGCGGGGTAACTGAATGTTCCCTCGAGTATTTTAATTATGTGAACAAATTTTAATACAATAAAACATTCGAGAGTTTGAAAACTTTGTTCGATCTCTGCAGTAAACGAACCTGCAGTAACAAAATGTCAGGCTCACTTGGGCATGAATATCAGGATGCAAGAATTTTTGTTGAATGGTTTGGTTTCGTTAAGTTTGCAACTTTTTAATTTGCTTTAATGCATGATTCCGGCTAATAGGGTGCTTTTTTTTTTGAAGGGGATTGACTACTTGAAGTACGACAATTGCTATTATGATGGTTCGAAACCTCAAACGAGGTAGACTCATTCGCCGCTTGAGTTTATTACAAAGTTAAGATGTGACGTATAATTTTGTTTTGTGAAAGATATGCTGCAACGAGTCATGCATTGAGAAATGCCGGTCGGCCGATATTTTAGTCTTTATGTGAATGGTATGTGCATATGAGTTTATGTCAATAGCTTTTTGCAAAAGCTTAAGAATTGTTGCCAAAACAGAATTGTCCTTTTGCAGGGGATAAGAGGATCCTGCAAAATGGGCTAGTTCTTATGGTCATACTTGGAGGACTACTGGGGATATCAATGATACCTGGGCAAGGTTTAGTTCATATATACCTTAAGCTGATTAACAGGTTACGGTTCTCAATTATCCATTGATTAATTTCTAACCAATTTTTTCCGCATTTTTTCTAGTATCACATCGATTGCAGATTCGAATAACCTTTGGGGGAGATATGCTGGACCTGGCAGGTGGAATGGTATCTGCAAATTTCTAACTTGTTGCCTTGTTATGATTATTTCAATCCTTTTACATCTCATGATCGGTATAGTTTCATTAATTTAATCTGTAATTTTGAACTCACATAAGATCCCGACATGCTGGAAGTGGGCAATGGAGGGATGAGCATCGAGGAATACCGATCTCATTTTAGTATTTGGGCTCTTATGAAGGTGTGCCTCTTAATCTTGCACATAATCCCTCGTGATTACATACTAATGATCTTTCATTGCCAGGCTCCTCTCCTGATCGGATGCGATGTTCGAACCTTGAGTAAAAGGACTCTAAGTATCCTCGGGAACAAGGAAGTGATCGATGTTAACCAGGACTCGCTAGGTGTTCAAGGGAGGAAAATACGATCCAACAGGGCCCTAGAGATAATTGAACGCATGCGTACTTTTCATTTCCCACCCATTTTTCTCATCAAATCTTGTACAGGTATGGGCAGGGCCTTTATTAGGGAAAAGGGTGGTGGTAGTGTTATGGAATAGAAGCCAAACTAGAGCACTTATATCTGTCGGATGGAGGGAAATCGGACTCTCCCCTTCAAGTCTGGTCGCAGTTCGAGACTTGTGGAACGTAAGATTTCGTCCTCGTAGTTGGCTTTCCAATGGTTTAAACTTTAAGCTAATGATTGATGGATGATGTTTTTGAATTTGTGACATGATTTTTTATGTTCTTATTGCAGCATTCGTTTGTTTGGATGAGTAAGCGTTACAGAATGACCGCCGCTGAAGCTTGCAAGATGTATATTATGACAGCAGTTAGAGGCTGAAGGAGGATCTTAAGGAACATTTTCACAATATTTATAGCATAGTGATGAGTCATTAAAAGTTGTATCGCTTTATTCTTAACCAATAGTTGTGATTATTCAAATATAATATTTATTTAGGCACTCGTATCTTATTCGAATAAAATTTTATTTGGATAGTCAATAGTTCTGTCCGTATGAATAAATATGAAACAAATTAAGGTTTATTTTTTTTTATGTTCTTCCATCGTTAGTCCATGCGTAGAGTTATATAACCCAAATTTTTGTTTATCGGATTTAAAATAGTTAAAGAAGAATTTCAGTAATGAACAGATAGCTTAAAATAGAGGACCTGTCTATTTATTCAAATAGTACTTCAGGGTTTAACTCATCTCCCATGCAACACTGCTCATACATAGTAGATTATAAGACCAAAATCAAGGAACTTCAACGAGTGGAAGGTGGGGATTCGCCAAGGAGAAAAGCTGAGAAGAAGGCCAGTGAACTGCCTGGTTTGAAGCAAGGCACTGCATGTCCTGCTCCTCTAAATGTTGCAAACGTTAGTCCTTTGTACTCTTGGAACCAGCCGCTTACCTGACAAAAGATAACTGAAGCTGGTGAACAATATATATATATATATATATACACGTATGTTTATATTAGTTAGGGTTTTAGTTAATAAGTACTTTACGACAAGATGGCATGATTTCATGACAAAAACTAGCTAGAACTACCTTAATAGAATCAGAGCAGTTAAACTATGTCTTCTGATTTCAGTACCTGTTTTTGATGGTACCATGGTGTCCATGCCTTGATTATAGGCAATCCCAACGTATCTATGCAGTAACGGGTGGACAAAACAGGAACTCTTCCATCCGTGTCTCCACTGAAAACCAATCAAAAAGCAATCACCATGAGACATAAAAAGGAAAACAATAGCACATGGGAACTGTTTGAAACATGCATGGGGTTTACCTGTAGACCCAAATTCTAATTCCTGCAGCAATAAGTTTTTTGTAAATGGGAAGCACTGATGGTTTTGAATCTGTCCAATTATGAAATAGCTTCATGCTGCATAGGTGACGAGCAATATCAATGTGGTTTATGTCAGATTTAAACTCACATTTAATGCCTAAACTGACACTAAACTAAAGAAAAGTTCTGAATTTTAGGGATCAATTTAGAATCTCGATGATAGAGGATGTCAGGTGCAATTAACTCGAACATTGCTAGATGTGTAAAGCATAATTACTTGCAGATGCTCCAGTTCCTGAGATGGTGTCCATCGCTAACATGGAGAGCCTTTTGAACATCCGGTCTATTGTAGAAAGCTTTTGCATAATCATCAAGGCAAGGATCAAAGCCCCCCAATACCCTTGGGATCTGTTAAAATGCAAAAATCCATGAAATCACCATGTTAAAACTACATATTATGTTACTCGAATTCAAGTGCGAGTGTCGGACACGAGTATGAATCACCATATTAGACGATGTTCGTTTCAACATGACTTGGTACATTGATGAGTCATCTTTAGCAGCAGTGTCTGCAATGCACACCGGTGTGTATAGGCTGTATATATCGATCTCCTTGTACTGTTTAAACACTTCATCCACACTTTGGCTACAAGTTTTATTGCTCCATGTGTCATTGCTCTTGAAATCACAGCTTTCCCTGATGATTTTGTGAGTTTCATCTGATATCACAGCATGACTCCATGCATAATCCACTATGCCTCTCCAGTCCTCAGCATCATTTGTTTCTGGGTTCCCCAGCTGTTTCATAAGTAGAATATTTCAGTTACTTAAGCAAACAACAACAATCCCATAGTCTGGTTTGTGGAAAATAAGACCAGATTGACCATACCAAAATACCCTTGAGATCAATATAAAGTGAAGGATCCTTGTTGTTGTCATAAATGACCTCAGCCAGCTCTGGTACATATTTGCCTGTGAAAAAACAAGTCCATTGAGGATCAATATATTAGCCTAACCTGCACGACTGTGTCGTTAGAGCATAATTCGGAGATTTTTGCCTTCCACATATTTGAACCCAATGTGACTTCGAATCTGTGGAAGGTGACAAAACACGATCCAACGGTTCTAGTTAAAGATTAATACCTGCATAGCTTTCCCCAGCAATATAGAAGGTTCTTGTTCTGTATGAGGGAAACTCGAGGAACCACTTATGGAGGAAAGTGTAAGCGTCATTTGCTGGTGTAAGTAACCCCATGGAAGAAACAAGCACAAATCAGATACAGAAACCTTAACCTAAAAAAAAAACATGTTTTGTGTTAAACTCACCGGTAAACCCATCTCCTATGACATTGTAATCAGTAGAAGTATTTGAGTATGAAAATCCAACTCCAACAGGGGATTCCAGGAATAACATATTTGCTTCTGCATCATAATCGTATTAACAGTTAGACACTTAAGAGGGTATGGCATAAAAAGAGTCATAACTTAATTACATATACACAAGTGACTAGAAAATCGATACGCATTCTCGAGTTTTTTTTTTTCATACCTTGATTCCATGAGAAGTTGTTAAATATGATTCCACGCCCATCAGTGTCCACTAAGAAAGGACCAATCTCTTGAGTTGCACCATATCCCACGGAGGAGCACCCAGGACCTGAAACATAGAGAACTTTTGAATCATGTAAAACAATGACCTCCACTAAACAATAACATGTGAGAGTCATCATATTATTATTATAGCCTAGATATTATAGCAATTATGTTACAGAACAGTTCATTTTATACCCTACGAGTTCATAGGTCGAGGGGTACATCACACGAGTCGAATAATGTCCCAAGGTTCGGGGGTTCGAAGAGTTTGTGCTTGACGGGTTCGATCTCATAACCTATGGGGGTCATGAACGAGAGAGTACGGTACCACTTATATATGTATATTAATCTTACCTCCATTAAGCCACAGAACCAATGGTTTTTCGTCAGGGTGAGACATAGCCTCATAGAACCAATAAAAAAGTGCTCTCCCATTCGTTTCATTCACATTGACATAGCCAGCATAATGCCGGAAATTCACGACCGGTTGGCCTGGCAAGTCGATAACGAGATCATTATCATTTTCCGGGGAACTCAATCCCTTCACACTATACCAATGGCGACCACCTGCGACAGATGACAGTGTTGGAACAAAAGCTAACACAAACAAAACAGCAACTTTCTGTCCAAAATCCATGTTGATGTCGATGATGATTTGCGAGAAGATCAGAATGTCTATTTATACTGCTTTTCGATACAGGAACTATAACAAAAAGTGTATCCTTAGATACATGAACATTGCTTATGAAGATTACATGCAGGTACGGAGTAGGATTTTATGTTAGGAGACGAACTTAAACTTGGGGGAACTAGAATTTCAGAGGGCAAAAACAGATTTTCAATAGAAAATACATTGAAAAAATTTAAAATATATGACAATTTTAAATTTTCAGGAGCGACTGCCCCCACCCGTCCCTCCATCCATCCGTGATCACATGGATTTTAGATGGTTTCTGGAGTGTTCAAAAGGACAGTGGAATGGAATGTCTTTATGGTAATATGTTCATTGGATGATTATCCCCAGTAATTAAGGCTTAAGATCATCTTGCTATTTATCATAGCAATGATCATTTTCTATACCAAGGGGGAAGGTTTGATTATAAAATTAAATAGAGATATACTTGATATCCAATAGTATCTGTGATTACTTACCAAAAATTGAAGATTAATTAAAGATTTCAATGTGAGTTTATCCACTTGCAGTTACTAAAGGTCTTCAACACGAGTAAAGGGAAAAGCACTTATTAATGTAAGGGTAAACTATGCTTTTCATCACTCAACTTTGATATATTTATATTTTGATTACTAAACTTTAATTTTTTTTAATTTCATCGCTCAACTTTTGAGTTGCTTCGTTTTCTGGTTACTCGAACGTTAGATAAAAAATAACAAAGTGATATGGCATGTTTTCTACTGACATGTAAGCCGTCTCGTTTTCTCTCATTTTAACCATTCCATCGTCTTCCCAGTGTCACAACCAACCTCTTCAGGGGAAAATCAGACGAGTTGCAATAATGAAAATTTTGAAATATTTTTGAAATGATTTTAGGAAATGTTAGGAGTCGTCACCAACCATTTTAAGGTGCAGTTGAAACACCATAAAATTCGGGTAATTTTAATAAAAAAAATTTATTTTTATCAAAATACCAAGTTTAAGATATGCGAAAACCAAAAAATAAGTTCGGGAGTCGGTTACGCGTGAGGAAAGGTTAACAACCCCACAACGCCCAGAAATTGGTACATAGTTGATTACCCTATTTTAAGATTTGGAAATTTAAAGTTTGAAGTTTTATTTAATTTGGAAATCACTATGGATGCAAAGTTAAAGAGGGTGTTCGTTTATTAAAGCTGATAATATTCACCCCTAGCATGAATGTGGGAGATCAATTATTGTCCAATAACTGGACATTGCCTCGAGATTTAAAAAAAATAAAGGGTTTTAAAAAGGATATTGACATACTTCGAGAATTACCAGTAGTCGCCCCAGAGCATAATTGCGGGAACTATACCATTAATTCTTTGATAAGCCAACATTACCTTGTGTTTGAAAAAGAAATACAATCAATCAACAAGTTTAAGAACATAATTATACTAGGTGAGTTTATTAAAGGATCTCCTAGCCTACAGTGTCAAATTATGAATATTAAAGAATCTAACGAACTAACAAAGTCTCTAATATTAACTATATAGATTTTAGCCAATTATGGAACGGAAAATTGATTTGAGCAATCGGACATTTTCATGTGAAAATCCAAATCGAATCACCTCCTAATTAAAGGACTAGATTGAAATTAAACCTAGTGTCAAGGCTTTAATTTATCCTAGTTTATTATGTCAATTGAGAAATGTAACACCCCCAACCCGTACTCGACCCGGATATGAATCCGAGGTGTCACATTGACTTTCTCAAAACTTTGACTTGTTAAAACTTGTTGAAAATTTTAAACTTTTATTTGTATTCAAGGGATTTAATCTATTTCCTGTCTTTTCACTCCCTCGATTCTACACCTACTCTTGACTTTTGGAAATCCGTATAGATATGACGTCATTAATCATGTAGATAGTGGTCTTCTAACAACACAACAACCCCAATCATTGCCAACTCAAAATCGTGAGTCAGTTGATTTCTTCCATAATTCTCTAATTGCTTTGTAACATAAATCAAAACCTTTACTCTTGCACAAAACCTCATCCTAATTACAATACGCATAATCCTGTCCAAATTCTACTTAGACTAACCTTGAAGTTAATGTCAATATTCTTATATCGTCTCACAATTTTCTTGGTACTAAATCGTCCAAAAGTAACATGCCTATATTTAACAACTTGATTAGAGGGAATATAATCATTCGACTATATCTCAAGCTTCTTCAATATATATAAATCTTTATCTCATTGACTACATATACATGGCCAAGAAACATAACCTTAAAAAAATCCATGTCACACTTAGTTAACTTAACCTGAAATTTTTCTTCCGATCTTTTAAACCCCATCACACTCACCTTTAACACAACATTTTTTTTAAACCTGAATACTCTGCTTAACTAACTATTTGTCTACGCATGGATAGAAATGCTACAGTTAAATCGAATTCCCGAGACCTTGTTCAAAGATTTCCAAAACTTTGAGATAACCTTAAATCTCCATCAAATATAATTGAGACATATACTTCATGAAATCAAACAATCCTTTTATATAACCACACGTACTTATCTATAGAATATTCACCTCGTTAAAAATAAAAGGTACTAACGTAATCAATCTCTTCATAAACGTCCAAATTTAGTCCCAAAGCAAACCTGATACAAAGTTCATAACAACTCTTTCTCTTTTTCAATGAGAATTTACAATTGCTTACTTCCATACCAAACTTATAATCTACACCTCATTATAACCCTGATCATACTTGATCCTTTAGACTCAATCATTTAAATTTCTTAGCTCTTTATTCCTTCATAAATCGAAAACTCTTTGTAACATAGGTCATGTATTTTTCTTCATGCTCTATAACTCTTCTCATATCGGTATGAGAAGCATCATCATACCACTTATACTCATAATTGATTACTGATTTTTATTGCACCTTCATAACTTTAATAATCAACATTACTTGCATAGAACCTTATTCTTTATCATTTCTTATACTTAATTTTTCTTATCTTGATTCATCAAGGACTAGATTCAAATACTTAACCATTTAAAATGCTTCTTCTACTTCAATTTGCACAATTTCTAACGGATCTTCTAATCCAGTTCACAAAATTTATATTTAAACCTAACTTTTTATCAATTAATCATTCATAGTTTCTTATTGATTTTTCGAAATAAGTTTCTCTTACCTTGAACAAAACTCACTTTATTTATGTATTACTTTGGAATCATTTTCAATTATCCTCTACAACATTGCAATTACTTCTCATACATATTTTTCCCAATTTATTAATTGCCAACTAATCTTATTATTACTTACCTTGTATTTCCTTGTTTATTACTAATCCAAATAACTATGACATTATTTACTAATAACTTACTTAGTGGAAAAGGGTCTTTGAGAGTTTCTTTAGGAATCTTTTGAATAATCAGAGAATTCCCACAAAATTTCGAATTCAAAATAACTTTTTCAAACTTCTCTTCAATCATAACTCGTATATATATTATACTTTCCACCATTTCACCTTTAACTTCTTTCATAAAGTTTAAACCCTTAATCAAGATTCTACTTCATGTCCTTACTTTATCTCAAGCAATCTATTCGGGCTTAACAACGACAATATCTAATCTGCAACCAAAATTATTATAAATCCTTGATAACGACTTATATGGATTTATCATCGCCCTTGTGGCTCTTAACATTTAACCATTAATCTATTTTGATATTCTTATTTTTCCAATTGAGTGAACTATAATCTCGTTTCAATTTACTCTTTATCCGATGTCAGAAAATTCCTTTTTCCAACCTAAAGAAAATTTAACACATCACTAATCCTTTTAACTGATCAAAAGATTATAAATCTCTATAAGAGGATACTTATTCTTCTTTTCTACTTTACTTAATGGACGATAATCCATCCCTAATTTATAACTCATATTTCTTTTCACAATAACACTAATGTTTCCCAGGTGACACACTTAGTCCTGTAAATCCCTGGTCTTATCAACCCTATATCAATATCTTCATAATAATTACTTCCAAAAATCCCAGAAGGAAACATGTTCACCCTTTTTATCACACTTAATCCATTATGCTCATACTTGACCTCTTAGCAGTGAGACTATTCCATCCAACTTTTCTATTTCAAAACAATGGAGACCTCCAATTTTTCAAATTTAATAAAAAATACAGATAAACAGAACCTTCATCAGCTAAATCCTTAAACTCGGGTATTCACAAACCTTTTTAACTCTATAACAACATTTATTCTAATAATCTGGGGAAGTAGACAATTGGAAACACTTTAGAATCGCGTCTATCATCTGAAAATTACTCCCTGAGGCGTCTGTTATTCTCTTTGTCGAGTTACTACTTCTCTTATCAACTTTATTTCTTGTTTCACTTCAGAAAACCTCTTAGTCTTACATCTATCAAACTATAATCATTTCACTATACTAGCAATGACAACATACTCATTACATTATCAAATCAGAGATACTTATTATATCGTTGGCATGTACAAACCAAACACTTTTGCCAGTCGGACGGTCGGTCTATTTCAAAAATTTGACTCAACCTAGGCTCTGATACCAATAAATATAACACCCCCGACTCATACCCAACCCGGATATGACTTTGAGGTGTCACATTGAATTTTAAAACACTTTGACTCATTTAAAATGTAACGAAAATTTTCAAGGAAAACATACATTTATAAAACATAGTTACAAATATATCAGAGCATCTATAACTTATACTTTTTCGTACATGCCAACAATCAAATCACATACTATTTAGTTTACTCTGATTTGATATTCTTCAGAGCTATGTTGTCCTGCCCTTATTTGCTATGTTGATGTCTACAAACCTACGTGTGAAAACAATCACACGTTAAGTCTATGACTTAGTGAGGCATTATGAGCAATATTGAACCGTAAAACATTTATTTAAACATTTCAGATAAAATACTTAATATGAAAATC